GGCCATTTTGAATTCTATCTGAAAAACAAAATTATTTGCATCAAGGTCCCATAATGTCTAATGTATATACCAAGTTTGAACAAAATCCATCTGTAAACAGCCGAGAAATGGTTGATTTTTAGGATTTTTTAGCACAAAAATGGCCGCCATTCGGCCATCTTGAATAAGATCGTGAAACAAAATGATGTGCATATGTATAATATCATGTATGATGTATGTGTGAAGTTTGATTGTGATTGGTCCAGGCATTTCTAAGATACAGGTCCGGACGCACGCACAGACGCACGCACACACACGTACGCACGCACGCACGCACGGACACACGGAGGTCAAAACATAAGTCCCCGTTTTCGGACTGCGTCCGAACGGAGACTAACAAGGTAATTTACGCAAAGTAAATCAAATCTCAAGTTTTATTATTATAACTGTATTTGTTCGTATTGCTTTGCCAGGGAATTGGTAGTCATATAATGAGTGCCAGCCCGCTATCAGATATTACACCAATGTTGATGGCTGCTGGAACGACTGTACTGGTTGGTTCTCTTCGAGGTAACACTTGGCATTGTTCAACATGTATTTTAACTGTGTCATTAGTTATAGTTCCCCATCAGGATATAATATTGGGTTATATTTAATGTATCTTATTAGAATCTACGGTACCCATATGAAAGGCATGTCACATGACTCAAGCATCATAACGTACTGTACATAACATCACTGGGTGATGCAATGTGCTTGTAATATGTGATACATATCTGGTAATTTAAGTATTATGATATTCTTTATTATAATATTCTTCTACAATAAATTCCAGTTCGTTTATAGTTATATTTTCAGTTAAGTCTGCATTCATAATGATGTACAGTATCATGATTTTTGGGTCATATGTACTTTCCAGTGTGTGTACATGCATATTGCTTTATGCTAAGGTGTTTATTAATCGTTTTCAGGTGTTTATTTACTATATCATAAAATGTTTCTTTGACAAATTAGTTGAACTTTACTTTACATTAGGTTACATTAAACCATGTACATATGATATGATATTAATTTATTACTGTGATGATAATATAATAATATGTGACGTCACACTATTCCGATATATCTTTATTTTTTAGATGGCAAACGGAGCTTACCTCTGGATAACAGTTTCTTTGTGGAATTCAGGAGAACGTGTCTAAAAGCAGATGAAGTTCTAATTAATTTGACGGTTCCAATATCGAAAGAGGTACTCACAATAAACTCACTTTAGTATACTTAATTTCCTATGAACTTAAATTCATTATTGTTTCACTAATTTTACTAATCTAATTTAAGAATGAATATTTCGCTGGATACAAAGTAAGAAATCAAGTACACCGTCGAGACAGAGACGTTTCTATGATTAGTGCTGGCATGAAAGTCGTGTTTGAAGACAGCAGCAATGTCATCAAGAATATTAACCTATGCTTTGGTGGAACAGGACCAACTGTGGTTATGGCAACATCAATTATGGAGAAAATGCAAAGAAGGTAAAAGTTACATTAATATGACAAAAAACATTGATAATTGACATCAGAACATAAGTAAAATCCTATTCATCACCTAATTACATGCATATCTTCATATTTGCATATACTTACACATGTCAGGAAATGGGATGAAGGTCTTCTTAATGATGTTCAACGCATGTTGGTAGAAATGCTGCAGCTGTCTACACATGGAGGTTTTGTAGAATATCGAAAATGTCTGTTGCAGAGTTTCTTCTTCAAATTTTATCTAAATGTTCAGAATGTACTAAGTAAGCAACTGGTGAGTGAAAAGTACATACATAACGTGTACATAACGATAGGTTTTCGTCAATACATGTAAATTTTGTGTATCTTGCTATATCCATCCACAGTTAATATATGCTACTTAACTCATATTGTGGTGAAGTGGGATGCTTACTGGACTGCAACTTGGGTGTGCTGTTGCCATGTATTTTAGTGTCAATATGTACAAGCGTTTGTCCATTTCTCGGCATTTATTTCATCTGAAGTGTACTCAAATCAGTATGAAAGACAAATGCGAACGATTTCGAATAATATGAAGGCAATATTGCTAGGAAATTAACTTAAATGATGACGAATACTAAAATGACATCACCAGGTTAGGGATAGACCGTATAAACGGAAGAGATTCGTTTTGTCCATGTCCATGCCCATGCCCATCTAGTCACTTTATGTGCGCGTACAGTACACGTCATTTAAATCAGTCATTATTGAAGGCGGTTATTGGCAAGGCTCATTGCAATGATTTGTTTTCGGGTTTATAAGCTAGCAATATGCGTGTAACTTATATTTGATCTGTATTCGGTGGCACATATTTCCCAAATCTTCAGTTTCAATTATTTTGCCAATTTTAAAAGCAAGGTATAAATGTACATAATATGAGGTTGTTACGAGGATATCAAAAAGTATGCACGAAGACAGTACAGCGTGACTATCGACCGACGCGCTACCGCGTACTCTCATCGTGCATACTTTTCGGTATTCTCGTAATAACCGTATTATTATACATCTTTTCCAGGAAAACATCATGGTAATGCCGAAATTCAAAACGTTTAGAACAGATTTAGCGAACTTCTTTGTGTAGGGTCCGTTCAAACCCTAGAGTCAGCCATGTTTGTTTCTAATATTAGAGCACGCTTAAGCGCGTAGTTGTGACATATTTGGAATTCGCGTTTCCTAATATGGTAGGATGAAAATACCCAGTGCAATACCGCAAAATTGCGCCACGCTGTTACTTATGATGTTACGGTGACAGATGTATAATAATAGTCTGGCAGAACTTGTGTTTAGGTTCGCAACAGAGTCCATAGTTTTTTTTAAGGTGGTTTTAGTTTGACCTCTACCTATATAACGGATTTCAACATGCTGGCCCTGTGTCAGCATTGGGCAAATTCTCCCTAGCAACAAAATGCAACATGGCTGCCTAGCAACTGAGTAATACCAAGAAAATCCCAACTTTGGAGCAACAACCATGCAGTTTATTGCACAAATCCCTACAAATGTGTACATGAGACACATACAGCATTTTTGGTAACTACACACCTTCATATCAACGGAATTTAAAATGGTTGCCTAGCAACTAGGTCAATTCATGCAGACTTGTTTTTTATTGGTTTGTTCACCACATTATGAACAAACTATATACTACT